CTACTTGAGTAGGCGCCTCGTGGTGCTCAAGCGTCTCGTGCCTGATCAGCTGAGACGCCGCTTCTCTCTCTCTAGCGCATTAGACGAGCTAGCCCGCCGGCGCGCCGCCTTGGGCGGGCGCGGGCGCTGGGGGCCCTCTAAAGCCGCACCGGACCTTGGCGGGGGCTCCTCGGAGGGCCGGGATCGTCCCTGGAGCGGGGGCCCAGACGTCCCTGGCGCGGAGCTTGGCTCCTGTCGCGCGGCGCTTGGCGCCCGCTGCGCGCTCGGAGGCCGCAAGTCCCAGACGGGGGAGCATATACCAGCCGGGGCCGGCTGCCAGGACCGACGTACCCGGCTGGAATTTCTCGCACAGGGAGTTTTCTAGAGCGGGCCCAGCCTCCGCTGCGTGCTTGGCACGGTCCTCGCCAGCCCTCTCGAGTCGGCTTGGCCGGCTCGTCGGGCGGCTCGGGTCTCGACTCCGGCGTCGGCGCTTGGCGCCGGCGCGGGCCGTGGCGCTCGAGAAGTCAGGCTTGGCCTGTCTCCTGGTGCAGCCATTCGTTTCCAAGGCTCTCACACCGTTCGGGTCGGCTTGGCCGACTCTCTCCGGATCGAGGCTTGGCCGCGGGCGCCCGCGCTTGGCGCCGGCTCGAATCGTCGCGCTCGGCGGGCTGGGCTTGGCCCCTCTCGCGTGCGGGCATTCGTTTCCGCGTCAGGTGGTCGCGGGCATTCGTTTCCGAGGCCAAAAATCGAAGCCGCGTTTCCGGGGGCGCGAAGCGCGCGCGGGCGCGGTCGCCGCAGCGTCTTGGACGCCGGAGCGAGTGTCGGGACGGCTGCGCACGGCGGCGGCGGCCCTAGCGCTCGACGAGCGTGCTCTCCGTCGCGTCGTGGCTTGGCACGTCCGTAGCACCTCCTCCCGGTCGATCGGGGCCGCGCCGCGCGCACCGGGCGTCGTGCACTTGGTGCCGAAGCCGCCGCGAGCGTCGGTGGCCGCCAGTGCGCGGCCCTTGGGGCGCGCGCACACTTGCTTCGGGCATAGCCATAGCTTCAATACTCCTCTGGATCTCCACGCTTCTCGCCGCTTCCCGGTCGCGAGCATCTCGAGCAGTGGGCGAGTGAAGCAATGGAGGTCCTCGCGGGGGCGGGATTTGCGGGCGTGAACGGTGTTGTCAAGGCTGTGACGGGGAAGAGCATCCTACAGCACTGCGGCATCGCCGTCAACCGCCTCCGGGCTAATGTGCTGGGCATCGGCGCCGAGTACATGGGCCACGCCCTCGCAGAGAAGGCCGCAGATAAGGCATGGAAGGCCGCGGAAGCTAAGCTCGCCGGGCCGGATCGCGACGAGCGGCTCCGCTTCTCGTGTCGCCTCGAAGCACTGAGCGACGTGTTACAGAGCGTGGCGTCGTCGCGGGCCGTCGAGGACGACTCGGTGAAGACGGCTCTCGACAATTTGCGCTCCTCTCTCGAGCGCGCCTTGAAGGCCGCCGGCAGCGATGATGGACGCCGTTCTTCGGAAGCCGACATCGACGGCTACATGCAGCACCTGCAAGTGACGTTGGCGACGGCGAACGCGAAGCTGGCGGAAGATTCGCACGACGACATCCGCGAGATCCGCGAGATGCTCGCGACGGAGGACAGCTTCAAGTACGATCCCTACGACTCCGATTCGGATCAGGAAGCGTCCCTTCTCGGCGAGGGCTCCTTTGGAGCGACGCACACGATGCGCAACGTCGACGACGGCCACCTGTACGCGGTCAAGCTGATCAAGATCAAGAAGGCGGGCGTCCCCATCGAGAGCCTGCGGCAGGAGGCGTCGCGCCTGGCGAAACTCAATCATCCGAACATCATCCGCTACTACACGTCCTTCACGAAGAAGAAGTTCTTCGCGATCGTCACGGAGCTCCTGACCGGCGGCTCGCTGCTCGAGCGCATCGACGGCGCCGCCGGCCCGCTCCCGGCCGGCCAGATCAAGCGGTGGACGATCCAGATCGCGTCCGCGCTCGCGCACATGCACGCGCGACGCATGCAGCACCGCGACCTCAAGCCGGACAACGTCCTCTTCGACGCGCGCGGCGACGCGCGCCTCATCGACCTCGGGCTCGCGAAGATCGTCGTCGCCAAGTCCAAGGTGTCGTCCAAGAACGCGGTCGGCGCCGAGCTCTACCGCTCGCCGGAGAAAGCGCTCGGCCGCGCCTACGACGCGAAAGACGACATCTGGGCTCTGGGCTGCATGGTCGCCGGCGCGGCGACGGGCAAGTCGCTCGAGGCCCGGAGCGAGAGCGGCGCGGGCGTCTTCGCGCTCGACCGCGAGGAGGTCAAGAGCCTCGTCGACGAAGCCGTGTCCGCGTCGAGCACCTTCGGCGAGCTCGTCGCGGCCACGCTCGAGATCAACCCGATCGCGCGACCGGCGGCCGAGATCATCGAGCTCGCGCTGCGAAGCGGGAAGTCGCTCGCGGCCGCGGCGCGCGACGGCACGATCTTCGAGGAGGAGGACGACGATGCCACGTCTGATGCTTTGGACGATGTTCCGTATGCGGAGGTCGTCGGTGTTGAACCTTCGGGCGACGCGCCGAGCGAGAACGGCCCCGGCAAGGTGCGTGCGTCGGCGACGAGCGCCGGGTCGACGGCCCACGGGACACCGACCGCCGCCGAGGCCGACGCGGCGGCGTCTCGAGGCGACTTCGGCCCGCTCGTCGCCATCCTCCGGACCGGCACCGACGGCGCCAAGGAGAAGGCCGCGGGGGCTTTGCGATGGTTGGCTCTGAACGCCGACAACAAGGTCGCCATCGCCAAGGCCGGCGCCGCGGACCCGCTCGTCGCCCTCCTCCGGACCGGCACCGACGGCGCCAAGGAGAACGCCGCGGGGGCTTTGTCGAACTTGGCTTTTCAGAACGCCGACAACAAGGTCGCCATCGCCAAGGCCGGCGCCGCGGACCCGCTCGTCGCCCTCCTCCGGACCGGCACCGACGGCGCCAAGGAGAAGGCCGCGGGGGCTTTGTGGGGCTTGGCTGCGAACGCCGACAACCAGATCGCCATCGCCAAGGCCGGCGCCGTGGACCCGCTCGTCGGCCTCCTCCGGACCGGGACCGACAGGATCAAGAAGAACGCCGCGGCGGCTTTGGCGAACTTGGCTGTAAATAACAACGACAACAAGGTCGCCATCGTCAAGGCCGGCGCCGTGGACCCACTCCTCGGTCTCCTCCGGACCGGGACCGACGGGATCAAGAAGAACGCCGCGCTGGCTTTGAAAAACCTCGCGAGCGCCGCCGAGTCCCGAGCCGCGGTCGCGCAAGCCCTTTCCCTGAGTGCGACCGCCTCAAAAAGCGACGTCGACGCGGCCATCGACAAGGTACGGTCATGAACTCTCCGCGCGTAACGTACATGTATTCCGAAGCTCGGGCGGGAGCCGATGCGCGCGGGGCAACATCGCTTCAACGCCTAATCGAGGGCAAACTTCGCCAAAGCGGAGCCCCTGGTTTCACCACAAGCTCATCGCCCCCTAGAGCGTGCCCTGGCACTGCTCGACGTCGCGCGACAGGGACGCGTGGTCGACGCCGCTCGACGTCGCGTCAGGAAGAGGGCGGACGCCGAGACGCCCGAAATCGAACGCCGAGTAGACGACCCGTTTCCAAACTCTATGGACCTCCGCGCCCGCGTCGCCCTCGCCGCAACAATCATCCTCTTCCTCATCTTCACGAGCGACGACGTGCTCGTGCCCCTCTTCGGCGAGCGGTTCCCGCCCTTCCACCGCAACGACGTCACGTTCCTCGTCGTCTCGCGCGCGCGGTCGGGCACGGACTGGCTCGATTCGATGCTCAACGACGCCGTCGACGTCTGCGCGCGCGACGAGCCGCTCGGCGACGTGAACACGTGGCGCAGGGCCGAGGCGGCGGCGGGCGTCGAGACCTCCGAGCTCGACCGGCGGCACGCGGCGCTCATTAAAGAGAAGATCCACGCGGTCACGTTCGGACAGTTCACCAAATACATGACGCGCGACA